AATATGTCATGTGATCATAGGTTCTCTGGAGTTTCCTAAAGATAGAAAGTAATCCTGTATGTTATGGGCATGCCTATGGATGGAAGAAATACTTTCCCATTCTGAGTATACAAACACATCTTTGAAACAGACACCAAGGAGAAAATCTGTAATGCCACCACTGAAGATGGTAAAACAGGAGAATTGAGAGGCCAGCCAGGCACATAGTGAGGCCATCTCATAAATCTAAAGAGAAAAAGAAAGTAGCTGTTCTTAACTCTTAAAGGCTTGAACTTCATTATGTTTTGAGCCTGATGAACCAGAATCCAAGACCCAAGGTGATATTGGACTCAACACATGGAAATACAAGAAGAACAGAATGCTGGAGATGGTCTATGTGGATCCAGGAGTGTCCTCTTGTGTGCAAAGTCTGTATGAAGAGACCAGGCTCTTGGCTGAATCCTGAGACATCATCTGTACTTGTCCTTACAAAGGATTAGTTATCACATCCCACTATCTTGTATTTTTCAAATATTTGTCCTGTGAGGTTCCCTGTGATAATAAACTATCAAAAGCTCAGTCAGTCCTCAAATGACACCTTGCATCTCCTACCCTGACACCATGCTTCCAAAATTATCATGGATGGATGAATGGAGTTGGCCAATATATGAACTATTGGTGAGTTGGAAAGATACACCAATAAATAACAGCTTTAAAGGATTGGATGAAAAGTTACAGATGCTGACTGAATGGCTCAGATTATGGACAAATTGAAAATAAGATGTTGACAAGTCATGATGGCTCTATGCTAGACCAAGATAATGGTTTCAGTGAATTGAATGGAGGGATGGATAGGTGGGAGATAATAAATGGATAGGCGGCTAATTATCCTTGACTCTTCACAGAAGTAGTCTTTGAAAACAAAAGTATTTAGAAACTGTTATAATTTAGATACCTTGTAAATCAGCGAAGTTAAGTTATGATACCTTTCATAAAATCTTTGTGCTTAATGTCCCCATCCTCAATGTTCAGAATGGTAATGTGGGAATGAAGAATTTTAAATTCTTCAAATACATTTGAGAACAAGACTATCACAATATTAAATTTTGAAAGAACTAGGGTACTGTTACACAGTTTTTAACATATTTTCATTGAATGTTCTATGACATTTGATGATCTTTTTCATTATAAAAGAGAGATTAAAACCATCTCAATGATATCAGAAGGCTGATACTATTGCCAAGAGGCAAGAATGTCCCAGATAACGTCTCCAAAGCTACAGAAGAGATGAAGTGATGAAGCCTGGGGTCGAGTACAAAGGTTGAGGACCACCAGGACAGGCACACCTACCAGTTTCAGTGTGGTCTCCAAGAGCTCCTCCTCTGTCTTCTGGCGAAGGCAGTGAACCATGGCAGCTGAGGTGGTGGTTTTACAACCAGCCATAACAGCAATTTTCTTCAATAGAAAACAGGCCACAGCAAAGATCATGAGCTGAGCAGTATTTATACCTCTGTCAATATAGCAAAGTTCTACTATCCAATACTCACTTTCTAATGATGGTACATGGATGCCCAAAACACGAAATACCAACACATGTGGGTCAGAGTGTTGCCTCTGTTACTAATTGGAATTTAATATAGACTATTTAAATATTGGTGGCTGTGTTAACTTTATAATTTGTTAAGTGGAGCTTGGCATGGTGACACATGCCCTTAGTTCCAGAACTGTGAGTTTTATGCCAGTCTGATCTATAGAGTGAGTTTCAGGACAGCCAGGATTATATAGTGAGACCCTCTATTAAAAAATAGAAACAAATAATTTATTAAGTGGGCATGCTTTTGTGGATGTGGATGAGTTAAAAGAAGCCATGTGCTCTATGGTGAAGAAAAAGAACCCAGAATTCTACTGTCTACTGTAGAGCCACTTCCTCCATGCTTTGGCCAGGTGGCTTGTACCACCCAGAAATGGATTGTGTCTATCCTATGAGGAGATGTGATACATGTGATGTGCTCAGGAGGGTAACCCTTGATGTCACTACAAAACTTGTACTGGATTGTAGTGTGTCTAAGGAACATGATTCACACAAAATCACTCCAGAACTTGCAGAGCTTGGTTTAGATGTGAGGCCAAACAAATTCTGTCCATTGACCATGTCAACTCCTTCCCCAGAACAAGAAAGATCCATGAGGAGAGAAGAGAAAAGAGCAGAGGAACTGCTCAGCAGGAATTTACCTCAGCCAAGGGCCTGGTGTTCTTCTTGACCAGGCCTGCAGTGAGGGCCACTCCACTTTCAGAAATAGCCCTGTGGAAGAGGTTCTTGGCCAAGGGAGATAACACCTGGCAGAGGAAATTAGAAAAGGAGACTTTATACTCATAGTGACGCATAGACTTCTGTGGGACCAGGGTTTTGAGTCCATTTGATCACCTTGATGACCAGCATGAAGCCTCAACCTTGGTTCTGTTGGATCCTAACCAAAGTGGGATGACCTCAGTGGCCCCACATGGCAATCAGCACCAAATTTTACCAGTACCCACAGCTGAACTTTATTTGGACATCCCTCTGGAAAGATTCACAGAAAACATTTAAATAGTCAGAAGAAGGCAAAACTGAAAGACAAGTCCATTCCAACAGACAGGTGTTCACACACTGAATATCAAGGCAGAGAAAGCAGACTACCAAGCTAATGGAAACTGTAATCAAGCAGGCACAGCTACCCTCACAGCTGATAAAGTATATATTAACTAAAACTAATTAGAAGAGATAAAGAACACTACATATTGATAAAGTGAATAATTCATCTAGAAGTTGCAGCAATTATGAAGCAAATATTTGGAGCCTCATAATTTCATAAAACAATCACTAAAAGGCATAAAAGAACATCTAAGACATGACACAATAATATTTGAGGACTTCAATACCCAACTCTCATATTTAGAAATGTCTTTCAAACTAAAGTAAGCAAGGAAATTTCAGAACTAAAATACAGCATGGATCAACCGGGCTTAACAGATTTATACAGAATATACCACCCCAAAGATAGGGAATACAAAGGCTTCTCAGCTGCAACTGGAACCTTCTCCAATACCAATCACACCACAGCCCACAAATCAAACCTTAAAAAGTACAAAGAAATTGAAATTATCCCTAATATTTAATGAGATATCAATGAAATGAAAGTAGAAATTAATAAGCATTTAAAGTTATTACCTCATCTTAAGGCACACAGAAATATTACAAAATCAATATGCATGCAAATATAATAAAATTAATTAACTTTGTACATAAACACATTTCAATTAATTATCAGATTGTAAATAATGTATGGAGGAAATTGACATTGTTAGATTGTAAGCATGAAATCAATATGTCATGTGAAAAGCATTGGAACCAAGAAACTGGTGGAAGAAAATGAATTGCAGTGACTTTTTTGTATAAATTAGATTATTTATAATACTTAGTTATCTCATCAAAGAGCTAACATGAAACTTGGGCTCTTTTACAAGAAGCAAATCATTTAAGTTAATGGACAAAAATCCTATGTGCTAAAGTATCCAAAATAACCCTATGTGCAGAAGCATCCAACTAGAGAATGCAAAAGCTCAATTTTTAGGTTTGCTGTAGGGTTACATTTGAAGAATCAAGCTATAACTCTATATAATTGTTATGTATAGAAAAAGCATGGCAGAATTAAACTAAAATTGGAAAGTTGAAAGAAGCTATATGACATGATCAAGTGAAAGAGAAAGAGGAACACACACACACACACATACACACACAGGCTAAAAGGAGAGATGATGGATAGCAGGTAGACAGAAGACAGATGATAGATATGTACAGAGATCGATAAAAATTGTGGGAATACTACACAAATACATGTCATAATATTCTCCTTGGATTTATTTGCACTTTTCCTTATCTCTAAGGAAAATAAAAAACATTTTCCTCTAAGTATTCAGCTAGTAAACCAACACATGTTTGAAAATATGGTGATGGGGTGACATTCTGATCAATTTTCAGGGAGCTGGAGGGCCACTCATGACTTCCACAAGTTTCCATGGATTCCCTCTATATATCCTGCTCCTCATCTCCACACCAAGATGACTCCCCATATCATCGGAATGTGTCTGTGACATGCATTCTTTGTCTTGCCTCTCTCTCCCTGTTGGAGTATCTGTCCATCTTTCCTCATAGCCAGCTCTCTTTTCCCAACTGGACCCTCAGTTCCAGATACTGCTACCCTTCTTATTAGGTTTTCAAAACTATGAGACCATCTCAGACGACCCTCTGTCAGCTCCCAATGCTCCAGTTCCTTCAATGTGTATGTCTAGCCTGGAGTCAAACAGTGATGCCTGCTCTACATCATGTCCTTCCCTCTTACTATCTACAGTTTATTCTCAACACTCCTTCCTAAGAATGCATTCTTTGTTAACATGATCAGAAAAGAGAAAGAGAATTCAATTAAGTGAGAAGAGAAATAATATGCAGCAGGTATTTTTTTTTTAAATGGCGGAGTATAGAAGTATTTCTAAGAGCCAAAGAGGATTGGTTCTTAGTCATCCACTGTCTAATGCTGAGCTATAAAAGAATCAACTTGAATCTGACAGTACCAGGCAAATATCATGACAGCCTGTTCTAATAACTCAGTTTAAAAACTAGACCTTAATTTCTGCCTCTTGAAGCTGAACAGACAGTTTCTGAGGAAGCCATGAACAAAGGGCAATCAATCTTCAATGCCCCTGACAGCAGGGAAGAGGGAGTTAGTATGTATCAAGCCTGTGCCACTGAGCCAGCCCCCACAGTCAGTGTGTATTAGGTCAGCCAGCCCCCATGGCAGCTCAAGATGATAACCAAACAAGGACAGAGCCTGGCATTCATCCAGGCTTGCCTCAAAATGAAAAAGCTATAGCTTTAACCAACCCCTGACTAGCCCTAGCCAGTTAGAATGTATTAATATGATTGCCACTCACGTAAGTCAGTCATATCTGAAATGATCTAAGTGTCCCTGAAACTCCCCTTAGCTGTGCTTAAAAGGAGCTTACATGTCCCTCTCAGGGTTGTTGCCATTTTGCCTTTGTGTAGGATGGATTGGATGGCCCGAGCATGCTGATATAATAATTTGCTCTTGTTGGTTGCATACATGGATGGTGGTCTTTTTGTGGGACTTCTCCAGGATCCTAACAAATCTAGATATTGAAAGCAAAGTTCCCACTGCTGGACTGGCTGGTCTCCAAGGGACCTTATCAGCAGTTATCACGCCTGGATAAGGCCTGGTTGAGGACACTTACAAGAACAGAGACACTTTCACCTCCTGCTGATTCTCCAAAGATAGTCACAGAGCCTGGGTCACCTCCAAAGTTGGCAATGTTGTCCTGGACCCAGTGCAGTGCAGCCAGCTGGTCCAAGTGACCCCAGTTCCCCTGGCTGTGTTCATCGCCTGTGCTGAAAGAAAACAGGGCAAAGGTAGATACATCATGACTGAATTCTCAGAGCTAGAGAGAGGCTGAGGCTCTTAGTGAAATAAGTTGATCCCTGAATTCCCAACACATGTCTTTGCTGCCTCTCTTGTCTCTACAAATGTTATATCTTGGATTCTACATGCATCTTCCAGAAACTATGAAGCCTAAGAGCTAGTGAGGAAACAAGATAGACAAAAGCTCCAACTTCTGAGTATATTCAGTTCACACTGTGGAGTAATGGAGTAGGAGTCAAGAAATTTTAGTATCAAGTAATGAAAGTGCTTTGAAGAGAAATAAAATCAGCTTACAAAAAATTCAGGGATGGGGACTGTGGGTGGTATTTTCTGGTTGCAGGACCATGAGAGGGCTCTTGGAAGCAGTGGTCATTAAATTGGGACTCAAATAAAATGAGCAAGTAAGATTATGGATATCATAAAATGTTATTCCTGTTAAAAGAAGCGGAAGAACTAGGAACAGAAGTGTGAGCTTAGCTAGTAGTAGGTGGAGCGGGTGCTGAGGGCCTTGGCAAGGAGTTTTTGCTGTTACAAGTGGGTGGAACTATCTGCAGAAACAAGATGCGATTCAACCAGTGTCTCTCACAGCACTCTGGCCACTCTGTAGAAAATACATGCCTTAAAAGTAACAGGTTTACTAGAAAACAAAACAAAACAAAAAACAGTGGTTATAACAATAATCCAGTCCAAACAGTAAGACTTTGATTACAGTGGATGCAGGGAGTAGATGAGAAGTCCATGGAATCAGTTTGTTTGCAAGGTGAAGCCAAAAAGACTGGTTGGTTGGTTAGACACTAAGTGTAGGAAAAGAAGGAGTCCCAGATGTCCCCCAAGGCTTTTATGTTGGACAACCAGGAGGTGGGCTGGACGGCACCTGTTCAGCAGTATGCAGGAAAAGGAGGGAGGTTCTGTTCTGTTCTCCTTGCCTGGAATAGCAGAAGCTTGGCATGACTCAATCCACCTCCTAGAGCACTGTGACCACTCTGCAAAATGTGCTTTAAAACTAGCTGTTATCTATGTCTGGGAAAGCAGAGAGAACAACACACAAATCTGCACAGAAGCAAGTGTAGTAATTGGAGAATTAATGGACAGACAAGGTCCCTTACTGAAGGAGCAGGATGCATTGTGAAGGAGATCTAGCAGAGGTCTCGAAAATGCATGGCGTTACTGGATCTGGGCCCTGGCATCTTTGACCTGGCAGATGTTTCATTTTGGATGTGTTCATGTGAAGGGATTATGGAGTAACAGAACCTGTAAAATGTGAGGCCCCAGTGGAATGTCATTAAGCCACTGGGTACACTGCCCTCAGAGGTGTTGAGCTCACTGGGCCAAGGTTGGTTCCCCAGTGAGGCAGTTATACAAAGAACAAGACTTCCCACCTCCTCCCTCCAACTTTTTGCCTCATCATGCCATCTCTTCTGCTTGTTGCAGATTCCATTTCTGCCCTTCTACCACGTTGATCTCAATAAGGGCCCTCACCAGACCTCAAACAGCAGAAAGAACCATATCCTGGATGTTAGCCTCTTAAATCTTAAACTCAATAAATATTTTTTTTATAAATATCATAAGATCTGGTGTTGTAATGTATAATAAGAAAACAGACTAATATGGGGGCTTGTGTGTAGAAAAGAGTTCAAAACTCTACCTGAGGAACCCCCAGATGCCCAGACGGTATTGAATGGCCACCACTACCACATTTTCATGAGTAGACAGGGCCAAGCCATCATAGGTTGATGCTCCACCCAACACCAGTCCACCTCCATGGATCCACACCATCACCTGGAAAAGGACGAAACACAGATTGTCAGAAGCCTCCTCTGGAGGGCCATAGAAGTTGTCTAGTTTGGTTGCCTATATGTAGGCTAAGTAGGGCATCACCCAAGCCACAGTAGTACCTAGCAAGGCTGCAGCAGGCAGTCTTTTCCCCTCAGTTCCCTCAGCTGGGGGGAGTCATCCCTTTCATCATTTCTCACCTGTCTTCCAAGATGCATGGGCCCTGTCTTTACAGGTCTCCTTAAACTGAAAACATCATCATGGAAGCATCTAAGACCTCACCCCAATACTGCATCCTCCTCCGGGCAGGGCTTTGTGTGAATGGCTCATGTTTGGCTTTCTCAGACTCTACATCTGACTGTGTACATAGTGACACTGAGTGCAACAATAGGATGCATGAATGACAGTCCCACCCTGTGCCTCTACATTAGATCTAATAAAAGGTCTCTCTTCTTTCTCCTCTTCCCCTTCCTCCTCACTTCCCCCCCTTCCCCATACTCTTCTTCCTTTCCTCCTCTTCCCATCTTCTTCTTCCTTTCCTCCTACTCCTCTGCCTCTTCCTCCTCCACCCTCTTTCTGAGAAAAGGGTTTGATCATTTTAAAAGACAGTGTAGCTATGGCTGGCCTGGTACTTGCTATGTTTCCCAGACTGACATCAAACTTGCCCAAATCCTTTTGTCTCAGCCTCTTCAATGCTGGGGTTGCATGTATGAACCAAAGGCTTCTCTTAAGTGGCCTTTTCTTGACTAGTCTTTTTCTCTTTTGTTGCAGAGGATCACACTCAAGGCCTTGAACACCCTGGCAACTACTTTACCATGAAGCCACTCTTTGTCCCTCTTGCCTATCTTGATGCCCACCACTAGCCCGGCAGCCTGAGGTGGTGATCTGGAGAAGAGAGCAGAATCACCGACAGTGGGGACAACAGCATCAGAGGGAAAAGTAGCCACCTGCTGCCCCAGCTGTGGGCCACTGCCACAGAGGCTGCAGAAGTAGTTTCTTTTCTCACTGACCCATGATTCCTAGGGTAAAGGCTGATGCCCAGCAATACTATAGGTGATCAGTTTCCCCCTCTATTTGTGAGAAAAAACCAGGGAAGATTAAATTCTAATTTAAGGCCGTCTTCCTTAAGCACCAGTTTCATACATGAGCAAATAAAGGCACAGGTGATTAGAAAAGTTCCTCAATGTTTCACTGCTTTGGAGACTCATGCAGTGAAGAGTACATCATAAGCAACATTCCCAGATCTCAGTGGACCCAGAAGGGAAGTACCACTGCCTGATGTGCCTGGGGAACAAAAAAACAAGGGAAAGTTTCCATCAGGGCAGAAGATCTAGGCCTGTGAATCAGTTCATGCCTGTGGTGCCCTTGCCCCTAGCTGTCCTCAAGCCCTTCTGTTTGCACAGAGGAGCCAGATGCTGACACTCAGAAGGTTGGAGAAGTCCCACCACTTACCGGCAGCTTGCTGCTCTTTGTCAAGTCAGCAGGAGTGTAAATGTTAAGGTAGAGACAGTCCTCAGAAAACTGGAGAGGAATGCTCTCTTTTCTGTTGGTTAGGAGGTCATTGACTATCTGCCCTGCCACTGGGTCTTGAGAGCACCTGGGAGGGGAGAGAGAACATCTGACGTTCCACCAGGCTGCAGCCTGGAAACATTACCTGGCATTGACTTTGCACAGGGAGGTGGAATTCAATGGACCCAGGAGCCAAGCACTGCTGCCACTGGCTTTTACAAGCAGCCCTGAGGCCCTCCGATGTCAGGATGACACAGAAGTCAGGGACAGAAGTGGTGGGTCAACAGACAAAAATGGTTCTACATTTCATTTTGGGAACTTTTCCGACGTTATGGCAGGTAAGGGGTTTAATAGTCATAACAGCAGTAACTCAAATGTCAAAAAGAGGAATTGGTTAATTTAAACAGAAAACAAAGATTGAGATTACAGTTATTTATTTTATTGTATTATTTCTGAGACAGGGTTTTTAGCGAAAACCAAGGCTCACATTCCTGCCCAGTACCTATCTTTCTGCTGCAGTGACATGGGCTGGATGCTTTTTTCTTTCTTTTCTTTTTTGCTTTTCTTTTCTCTTCTTTTCTTTCCAGTTTTTTGAGACAGGATTTCTCTGTGTTGCCCTGGCTGTCCTGGAACTCAGTCTATAGACCAGGCTAGCCTCAAACTCATGGAGGTCTGCCTGCCTCTGCCTTCTGAGTGTGGGGATTAAAGGCGTGTGCCACCACCACCAGCTGAGATTTACCATTGCTGTGATTATTACCTATTATTTCTTTCCCCAAAGGCATGGTAAAAGTATTTCAATAAGCCTAAGGTTTAGGCAGAGCTTGTTGATGGAGACTTTTTGGAGAAAATTTAAGAATAGTTTCATAGTATTTGACTCAATAATGCTACTTCTTGGGACTTATCCTAAAGAATTCATGAATGTGTGGAATAATTTAGTAACACTTTTCCATACTCAGATGTGCATGTTAACTATACTAAAGCCAACATGGTCACCAGAGGTTAAAGACTGGCTGAGTGTGATACAGTGTGGTGTTGAAATTAACGCAATGAAAGTAGCACTGTGATGTTCAATGGCAGAGGGTGATGTTGCCGGCATACTCCTAAGTGAGACGGGGGCCACCAGAACTGCAGAGGCCCGCGACAGACAAGAGGCTGTCACTGTGTCAGAGGGTGTTAACAGTTGTCACTGGGGGGCATCCCCTGGGGGTTTGCTTTCCTCTGTTTTGCATCTTGTGTTTCCTGACTTTGCTGTACTATGTATTCATTACATAAACTAAATAACCAAAATACAAGACAGCAGGAGTTCAAGCAGCACATGGCGGAGAAAGGGCTCTCGGAAGCTGTGCAGCTCTAAGTGTTTCGCATTTCCACAGTGGCCTCTTTTTTGTTGTTGTTGTTGTTTCCAGCAGTTGAAAGGCTTTTGGTGGGGGTGAGGAAACACACACATACAGCCGACACACAGAGAAAAAGACCCTCTGCAAAACAGAGCGGAGATTCTGGAAACTGAAGTCCTCCACACTGTTCTTGATTGCAGAACAAACTAGAAACCAGTTAGAGTGCTGTGCTGATCCCTTCCTATGTCCCTCTGAAACAGAGTTCCTTCAAAAGAGACCCAGGCCCACCCCAGCGGCTTACATAGGAGGGTAGGAGGTGGCATTCTTCACGAAGCTCCAGGGCTCTGCAGGCTGTGGAGGAGCAAACCTCAGGGATCCAAGAGGAGGCTTGGCAAAGGGGACTCCCAGGAAGACGGCCACAGGCTGTGTGAATCCTTCTAAGCTGACATACTTCCCCAGGACTTTGCCATAAACAGTGTTCACCACGGGTGGTGAGGATGGGTGTCCTGCTGGACAAGAGACCATGAGGACACATCAGAGTGGGAAAGATCAGGCCTGGATTTCTACTGGGTTTCCCCACTTTCTAAGCATGAAGCCTTGAATAAATTGCCTTAGCCTTGTAAACCTCAGTATCTTCTCCCCCCAGATAATGATGAAAAACAAAACAAAACAAAACAAAACAGTCCTTATCTTAGGGGGCATGGAAGGGGCAGTTGGAATTGCACACAGAAAAGAAGTTAAACCAAAACTCAATGTGAATGAATGTTGGCTGCTAGAAATGTTTGTGACCTTCAATGTCATCCTCAAAAGTCTATGGAAATGTGTATCTGTTAAGAACCTGATACTGGCCCAGCATGGTAACACATATCTTTAATTCAGATACCCAGGAGGCAGAGGCAAAGACAGATCTCTGTGAGTTTGAGGCCAGTAGGGTATACACAAAGAGTTCCAGGACAGACAGAGTTACACAGCCAGATCATGTCTTTAAAGAGTAATAATAAAAAGAAGATCCCAGGGCTGAGCTGCATGATGGACAAGAGGATGGGCACAGGTATCTTCTCCTCTCAGGAGGCTGACCTTATAGGAAAGGACCATAGATAGACTCGACCTAATGCTGAGTTGAAATATGTGTCCTAGAAGGAGTGAGCACTTCTGATTTTTGTCGCCAAGGACCATCTGTGACTTGGGGGAGGAGTGACAAGAAGAAGGTGGGAGTGGGAGGGGATG